GAGAAACTTCGAGCAGGGCGGGAACTTGGCGGGGCAAGGGCACCCCTCTCTGTGCCAACTTGGAAAGGGGGCACTCACTGGTGATGGGGAGCCTATCAATCCTCACTGGAACTTTACCAGGCCGTCTGGCCCGTTGGGGAGCTAGTAACCAGGCAGGCACAAGTAAAGAACCACTTCGGACACAGCTGGCTGAGGTTTGTGTGGAACACCCACAGGCCCTGGAGTCCTGCAGCCCAGGGCTTGAATCCATCCGTGTCCTTTTCTGGAATAGCTGTGTTACCTCCGGCAAGCTAGTTAACCTTTCTGAGACCAGCCCACAAGGCCAAAGAGAACTCAAAATGCATGACCTCCAAGTACATATAGCTTGAAGGTGGTTGGCAGGACTGGATGGAAGGCTCATGAAAGTGCCTGGTGCTTGGCCTGTTAAGTGGAGGATATTCAGTGGGTCTGTGTCCCACTGTCCTCTTCCCGGGTCCTCAGGTGCAGGGGAGACCTGCCATTACAGCCCGGTTCCCGGCTCTGAGCTTGGATGGGCCCATGCAGAGGGAAAGAATGCTTGGCCAGAAGACGCTCTGAGGACCTGAGTGAACTCGAGAAGGGTGGGGCAGGGGCAGTGGGCAGGCCGCTGGTGGCAGATGTGGGTGGGGGCACTTTTGGGGAACTGGGCCTGCCCTGGTGAACCACAGAGCCACCCCCACCCTCTTTGAGGTGATCTTAGGTGGTCCCTGTCCCTGCCCCTGCCCTCTTCCCTCCCCTTCTCAGAGCCAAGAGAGGGGCTTTTCTAAGCCGGTGTTCACCCAGTGACTGAATCCCTGTCCTGGCCACCTCTATCTCACATCTGTGCTCAGCCCCCACCCCAGACCTGACCCCTCAGCTCTCTTGCCCCGCCCACCTAGCAACTCTCCTCCCCCACTCCCTGTCTGCAGGGCTTCCTTAATCCCCTCTCTCAGCCTCTCACCCCTGCACATCCAGCAGGGCCCAACCAGTTGCTTCCCAGTCCCGATCTGAACTTGATCTTTACTTTTCCAAAAAAGTAGGCACCAACCTAGCACATGGGATGTCTTCCTTTTCTGAAACTCCCCCAGCTCTGCCTCTGCGGAGGGGCTCCTGAATGCTGGGTTCTACAGTGGTCAGAGTGAGGAGGAGGGTGGAGCTATTTGCTGTGTGCGGGAGGAATTTCAACAGAAATTCCAGATTGCAGCCAATCATCTCATTCACTTGTTCATTCAACATATCTTCATTGAGCAGCGTTCCATGACAGTCAGTGGGGGTTCAGGGGTTCATTCATTCGGCAGATATTGCTAGGCACCTACTGCATACCAGCGCATCTGGCTGGGGTTTACGGGTGAGCAAGAATAGGTCCTGTCTTTGCTTTCCCAGAACTGAGATGGGTAAATAGGCAGTTCCAATCCTGTGGGATTATGGTCTTGTCAGCAACCACACCGAGGTCTTCAGTGTCCCACCCCCCGGCTGATGGTGGAGAGCTGGAAAGATCTTGGCTTCTGGAGTCTCATGGACCCACAAAAGCTGAATCCCAGCTCTGTCATTTTCTGGCCTGTGATCTGAGGCAGTTTCTTCTTCCTGAGCATTCAGTTTCCGCATCTGTAAAATGGGGTAAGGAGTTCATGGTACATTTTTTAAATGACATCAGGCTCCTAACCCAGTGCCCCAGCAAGCCTTGGGCTCTTCTTCGCCCACTGCCCTTTATCTTTTCCGCCCTTTGGTTCACATCCACAAGCCAACAGTGCATGGGTGAGGATAGGACACAAGCGAAGGTAAGGTGGTCCTTAGGGAGCTCAAGACCTCCCTGGGGGCAGGAGACAGGAAGCGGTGGTCTGTGATTAAGTGTGGGAGTAATTTCAGTTCAGAGGAGGTGGAGAGGCTTGCTGGGGGTGGGGGCCAGGCCCGGGTGACTCAGAGCCTGCCTTGGCCTGCTGACCCCTTTTCTTCCTGCTGGGACCTTAGCCTTTCCTTTCTTGGGGCCAGTCCTGCCAGGAGACCGGAATCTCGAGGGGGCTGCCGTGATTACGGTGTTTTCCAGGGCTGCGGAGGGAAGTCACTGAGATACCTGTTTCCTGCCTCGCCTGGGTTTCCTCACCAGGGAGACTGTGGGCGGGCAGGAAATGGCGGAGCCTCCCCTTCCCTCAGGGGTAGCACCATCTCAGACTCCCCTGGACATAATTGGCACGCTCTGCATGCCCCCTCCCCTTGCCCCAGACTTGCTGGTGGGAAGGGGTTGTAACGAGTGTGCCTTGGGGATTTCCAGAGGGAGGGCTACAGGTCACAGAGGGAGGCGGAGGCTGGAAGGGGCAGAGATGGATACCCCGCCCCTGCCAAGTGCACCAGGCCCAGCTCCCTGTGTGTGGGGAGTAGTGGCCCCCGCCTGGCTCGGCCCAGGCCTGTTCTCAGGCTGAACACAGGCAAGTTGGGATCCGTGGGTCTGAGGCGCAGCCTGGAAGACAGGGTGAAAGGAAGGTGGCAGAAGGTGACTGGGTTGAGGGCTTGAGGTGGTAGGGAGGGAGGTGCTGGGGTGCCAGGTCATATGATAACAAAATAATATGGATAGTTAACACTTATTGAGTGCCTACAGTTTGCCAGGCACAAAGTTTCTCAACAAATTCTCCCCCGTCATTCCCCTGCTCAGAATCTCCCAGCATTCCCCGCGTGGCTCACCATCAGACCCACGCCCCTGACCTGATATGGTCCACAAGGCCCTTTGGGATCTGGCCTCCCCCACTCCCTCTACAATCTCTCCTCTTGCCAACTTTCCCCTTGCTTACTCACTCTAGTGACACTGGTCTTTGTTTCTCGAATATGCCAAACACACTGCCACCTCAGGGCCTTTGCATCTGCTGTTCCTTCTACCTAGAACATTTGTGCCTCAGATATTTACATGACCCTCTGCCTGTCTTCCTTCAAGTCTCTGACTACTCTGCCCAACATACTCTGTCCCCTTACACTGCTTTTTCTTTCTTGTCACTATCTGACATGCATTTGTTTATTTATTTCTCTCTCTCCTCCCTGCCCCCCATCACCAGTTTAAGCTCCATGACAGCAGGACCTTGTGCGTTTTTGTCCTGCTGCTCTGTCTTTAGCACCTGGCAGGCAGTAAGTGCTCAGTCAATGTATCTGTTGAATGCATTAAACCATAGCTAGTAGTGTGGTCCCCATTCTCTAAGCAGAGGACATCGAGGCACAGAGAGGTTGCATAACTTGCCCAGTGGCTCACAGTACACACATACTCAACGGTACCATGAGCCAGGCTTTGACGCCAGACAAAGCTCTCCTCGCCACTCTGAGTCCTATCTCACTTGTTTGTAGCAGGCGGTAGATGTGAATAAGACTGTTGTCACCGATGTTGATAAAAGTAAGAACTCAGGTCTGAGGTAGTGCAGAGGCTACCTCAGACAAGGAGTATTCAGGTCTGGCTTCGGGGACAGAGCTTCCTGGCAGGAGCCTAGAGAGACTTAACTCCAGGGCAGTCATTTATGGGACTACCCGTTTGTAGGTTTATTAATTAGTTTCCTCATCAAATTTTCCCTGAGATCCTATAAACTATTGAATTACTCCCAAAGCTTGAAGGCCCAAGTGGGCCAGGCTGGGTCCTACCCTGCGTGGGGAGTGAGGGGGAAGAAGGCTAGGTGCCCTCACTGGGTTCCCTGGTTGGCGCCTGGGGGCTCACGGTTTTGGGCGAGTCTGCAGAGGTTCCAAGGCTGCTTGGCCTTGGGGCGAGAATCTCAGGAGAGAGAGTCAGAAAGGCTGCCCAAGATGTGGAAAGATACAGAGCCATGATTCAGAGGCCACTTGGAAGCCAGACATAGATTCAGGACCCTCAAGCCACTTGGGATGTGCAGGAAGGGCTCTCAGCTCTGGCCTTTTGCCCCCCACCCCAGTCCATCCCAGATGTGAGAGGTCAGGCTAGAAGAATGGGCGAACTTGACCCCATCCCCCAGCAGCTTCCCAAGGATATGGTGAGCACAATGCCCCCTCCCCCCAGGGCCGACCCTGGCCTTGCCCCCATCTCCCTCCTGCCAGGAAGAGGGAGGCTGGGCTGAGGATCCTACCCAGCTGGAATGTTGCCCCAATCCAGGCCTTGGCCCCTTTGGCCCTGCTGCCCCCTCCTGCTCCCAGGGCCTGGCCCTGGCCTGCTGGCCGCCCCAGCGCCCAGAGCTGGCTGACTGAAACCTAGAAGAATGTGTGGAACTCGCTTTGCGGGGAGACGCCAGCCTCACTGCTGGTGTTGGGTCCGTGTCAATAGTGGCCTTGAGAGGGGAGCGGCTCATGGCTGCTGGGGGTGGCTGGGCTAGGGGCACCATCACGTAAGCCCTGGGAACAAGGCGGCTCTTTGAGGCCTGGGAATGTGAGGCTTTCAAGTGTCGGCGGCCCCCAGAACCCACCCTCCCCACCTTTCCCCACGCCCACCTGTGCCAGAGTTGCAGGGACCTAGGAACATCCCCGTGGCCTCCCTGACGTGTCCTTAGGACCAGCTCCCGGCTACCTCCCGGAGCCCTTTCCCTGAGGCGTGGAGGAGGGCACCCTGCTTCTCTGTTCTCTGGATTTTAGGGGGGGCGTCTATCTGGTGCACAGAGGCTTGCAGTGTGTGTTGAATGAATGAACGGACCGCTGATGTATGCGATTAAATATCCCATGAACTAAAGTCCCCTATAGGTGCGTGGTAGATGTAGAATGTATTCAACAAGGATTATCCAGTATCTTCTAAGTCCCTGATGGGGTTCTAGGCGCCGAGGTTACAGCAGAGAACAAAAAGTCAAATTCCCTCCCCTCGTGTTACTTGCATTATAGCTCGTGTGGGAAGACAGATAAGAAATATAATATGTCGGAGGACAGTAAGCGCTCAGATGAAAAAAATAAAACCGGGAAGAGGGTACAGAGTGATGAGGGATCAGGAAAAGCCTCTGATAAGATGATGCTTGAACAGAAGCATCTGCAGGAAGTAAGGGTGCAAGCCCTGCAGGTACCTAGGGAAAGGGCCGAGGGAATAGCTAATGGAAAGGCCTGGATGCGTCCAGCATACCTGCGGAAAACAAGGAGGCCGATGTGGCATGAGTCGGGGGGAGCGTGGCTGATGTGCCGAGCCTGGGCCACGAGAAGGCCTTTGCTTCTGAGTGAGATGAGGGGTCACTCTAGTTGCCGTGCAGAGAAGAGAGTGCGGAGGGTCAAGGGCAAAAGCAAGCAAGCCGAAATCCAGGCCAGAGACCATGGGAACTCCTACCAGAGCGATGGAGTTGGGATGAGGCGGCTGAATCCTGAGTGTATCTAGAAGGTAGGGCTGACAGGAAATTGCTGATGGATTGGGGAAGGGGCGGGACAGAAAGAGAGGAGTCTGGGAAGTCTCCACGGTCTTTGGCGTGAGCATCTCCAGCAGGAGCAGCCACTAATTGAGATGGGAAAACTCCAGGATGTGTTGGAGGAGGCGGGCATAGGGATGGGGGCAGCAGTGGGCGGACTCAGAGCGGGGGGCAGTCAGCAGCACCCCACGCACACCCAGCCCAAGCTGGGGCCTCTGCACTGGCCTGTGGAGCAGGTGTGTGTGTGGTGGGGGGGACGTCTTGCTGAGGATGCATCTAAGGAGCTGCCAGCTGGTTCCTTAGAACCCCACGGCCTGAGCTCATGCTTAGGTATTTGTCCGTTTATTTAGAATTTACCGCCTTCCCCCCAGTTTAGCATGGACGCTCCATGAGGACATAGATTCAGATTTTATTCAGTGCAATTTGCCCAGTGCCCGGCAATAGTAGGTGAACATTTATCCAGTGAATAAATTAATGGCCTTGGGAGAAGCCGGCCAGCCAATAAGGCCCAGGCTCCTCGCAGAGGATTGCAGGGGCTGCTTTGGCCCATGGGCACAGGGCAGCTGTCCTTCCCTGCCACTGCGCTGTGCTGAGACCCGGAGCATGTGGGACAAGCTGGGGTGCCCACACTGCCATCTTCTGCCTGTCTGTGTCCTCTCTGGACTTGGAACCCCTTTCTCTTGGGCCCTGTGATTGAGGGAAAGTGTGGGCTCAAAGGGCCCTGCCTTCAAGTCTTAGTGCGGCCCAACTGGCTGTGTGACCTTGGGCAAGTTCCTTCATTTCTCTGAGCCTCAGGTCAGAAGTAGGGATCATGATGCTTGTTTCCCTGGTGGACATGAGACCCCGCAGATGCCCCTGGCTTGCTGTGCGCAGTGGAATTGGTATTTGACAAATGGAGCTGTTGTGTAGTATCGTTCCTGCTGAGGGCTAAGCCGGAGCGACATTTGACTGCGGGTTCCCGGTGCCCAGCGGGGCACACTTTTCCTGATCAGAACTGCTGCCAGCTGTTGACCCAGACCCCGCACTGACGAAGCAGATGGAAGCCATTGCTCCTCTCCTCTTTCTCAGTCCAGGACCCCTGGATGTAACTGCATCTGATCTGTCACTGCCCCCCTTCCCCCACTGAGGCCGCAGCTGCAGGACAGAGTCCACCCTTCCACCCTGATTGCTCCTTCCTGGTGGGGGAGCGGGAGGGGGGCACACCCCGGGGTGTGGCCTGGGAAAGGCTGGGGCCTGTGGACGCGTTGTCCCCTTCCCAGATGTGTGCAGTTGGGCTCTGAGCAACCAGAGGCGTGGCTGTGGGGCTCCCATGGGTGCAGAGAGGATGTCCATGCATCTTAAAGGGAGTGGCCAGGGGGCTTCCTGGGACCCTGTCCCAGCCCCACTCTCCTTTGGGCCCGCACTGGAGGAGATAAGACCTTGCCCGGGGAGCCCCGAGGGAGCCTGCAGCAGGTCACTTGCCAGGGTTGTGGGGCTGCACAGCCCTAGTTCTGACCCCTTTGGGTTCTCAGAGAAATGGCGGGGGCTAAAGGAAAGAGACTCACAAGTGCACGGTGACCTCTCCCTCCACCCTGTGCCTTGGGCTGCTGAGGACAGACCTGCCCCTTCCCCACTAGGGTGCGTCATGTCCAGGTGTCTCATTTTGTCACGTCTGGCGTCTTTCCCCATCTTTTCCCCAGTCCCAGTTTGGGGAGGGGGAAGCAGCCTGGGGCTGGGCAGGGGGAGGACTTCAGAGGTGGCCTCGGGTGACCCCACAGATGGTCTCCTGGCACGGGGCTGGGAATTCCCAGCTGCCTCTGGCCCCTTCCCAGCCCACCTCTGGGTCCCTGCCCCCGCCTCTCCCTTCCCTGCCTTCCCCATGCTCACCCCCAAGGAGCCAGCTCTGGCCCCACATCCTGCTGCCGCTGGCTTCCCCTCCTCACCCCAGCTGACTCATCCCCTCTCCTTGTTTGGCGGTTCCAGTTTTCAAATAGTTGGGAACTGGGATCATGCCTCTTCTGGATGCCTCACTGGGCTGGATGGATTGAAATTCTGGCTTCATAAATCCTAGCCCCAGTGGCCTCTGTCACTTAACAGGCTTTTCTCCCTCTTCTGCTGTTTGCTTTCCTGTGACCCTTGGGCCAGAAGAACAGAGACCTAGGAGTTTCCTGAGGACAGACCAGTGTCTACTCTGCCCTGGGTCCTCCAAGTTCTCCTCCCCAGTGACCTCAGGCACCTAGATTGTCAGCTAGTGCTCAGTGAGCACACATGCCTTCTCTTGATTAAAAACCGCCACCCTCTCTGGGCGCTTGGGTGGCTCAGTCGGTTAAGCGTCCGACTTTGGCTCAGGTCATGATCTCGCGGCTCATGAGTTCGAGCCCTGTTTTGGGCTCTGTGCTGACAGCTCAGAGCCTGGAGCCTGCTTCAAGTTCTGTGTGTGTGACTCTCTCTGCCCTTCCCCCACTTGCACTCTCTCTCTGTCTCTCAAAAATAAATAAACACTAAAAAAAAAAAAAAGCCATCCTCTCTTGAAACAAGCCCCACACGGAGCTGTCTCCGTGTCTCATTGTTGCGCATGATGCTCCCAGCAATCTTGAGGTTGGCCTTCTTATCTCCATTTTGCAGAGGGAGAAACTGAGGCACAGCAGGGGAATGGCTGGCTCAATTCATCCATCTAGTACGTGTCACAGCTGGGAGGGGAGCCCAGGTTGTCTGCCTCCAAAGTTGTCATCCCTCTCCCAGTGGATCCAGCCTGTTGGGTGTAGAGAAGGGGCAGTCTGGGAGGGCTAGTGTAGTCACGACAGGCTACATGGAGGAGGTGGACTGGGCTGGTCTTGGCGGAGGGTACAGAAAACCACGTATCTGCCATGTGGGCTTATCCAGCTCCTACTTCACAGATTTGGGTGCCTTTTGCCCCTTGGCCTCCATCCCAACTTAGTGATAACATTCCGTCGGGAAATGGATTTGGCTTTCCCTGGGATTGAGACCCTTGAGAACCTGGATCCTTCTCAGTCACATCCCAAGCTCCTTATGGGACCTGCAGGTTTTGCCATTTGGAGTTAAGTGAATTTTTGCCAAGTGGGGCCTGCTCTGAGCCATCCGTGTGCCCCCTCAGTCCTGGTGAAACACAGGGCATAGAACCTCGTGACCCGGCCGGGAGCGTAATCTATGTGTAAGTCCCAAACTGTGTCATTTGAGCATCCTTGTGCGGTGGAAGAGTCAGGAATTCATTCATTCATTCATTCATTCATTCATGCATTGCCTGAGGACCTACTGTGTGCTAGACGTTGTGCTATAGGTGTTTTATCTGCATTGTCTACTCTCCCATGTAGTTGGGAATATACCTCCATTTCTCATGGGAAACAGCTCAGTGGAGAGCAGTGACTTGCCCAAGATCACACAGCCATGTGCAGAGGAAGGTAGGAGCTGAATCCACCTCTGTCCGTCCTCCTAGAAGAAATTAGAGGCAGGGTCCCTTCTCTCCAGGATCTCTAGGTCTTGGGGAGGCAGGACCCATGAACCATAAGCACCCAGTGCAACTCGAAGTGCAGACGGGAGCAGACTGCCAGGGAAGGGGAAGATCAGTTCGGCACGAGGTATCTGGAAGGCTTTCTGGAGGAAGCGGGGCTTGTAGAGCAAGCAGAGGATTTGGCTGGTGGAGCAAGAAGACCTCTGGGGCAAGG